TAGTTACTATAAGCAGCCATGTAAATTCAGTGGTGACTGCTAGAATTAATAAGTGAAAGCACTGGGAAACATAGATCAATAATGTTAAAAAGGAAGAATGTTGCTCTGAATGCTGCTTTGAAAAAAGGGCTTCTCCAAAAGGGCCCCTGTGGAGGTGAATGGAAATATATGTTATCATCAACTCATCCCCTGTAACAGGCATTCATTACACAGAGATGTTGCAACTTCTCACATCTTTTTGCTTTTCTATCTAACCAGTGTCTTGGGCAATTTAATGGATATAGAAACTATAATACAAACCTAGGCATTAATTGCTTGAAACATGTTTATCCTCCTCACCACTTAAACTAAAGCCTCATTTTTGTTCTGTACTATTTGCTCCCATCACAAGTCTTTTAAGGGGCGCAATCACAACTCACAGAAGAAAGCAGAAAAAATGGGCATAAACTATGGCATTTTAGAAAAGGGGGTATGTCATATAAGGCAACACAAATGCCTCATTTTGGGACTATTAAACAACCCTATATTTGCAAGCTGTTTTTAATACTCAGGACTTCTCATGAAAATAAGAGAAGCGATTCCAACTGCAGCTTTAAGCACTAAATATTATGAGGCCTGCTGGGAAAAGTGCAAGGAGCTGCAATATTGCCCAATATTAATATGCCTTACATTTGTCATGTGAATTCCAGCCATTTCCTACAGGAAAGAACAAATAAAAGACTTGAACGAAACCCCAGCCTACACCTCCAAGGCTCTCAAGGATGTTGTAGGCCCAGCTATTGCGGCTGCTTTCTATCACCTTGGAGGAGGTCTACCTTTAAAACACCTCATTGAAGCCTCTGTGCTAAGTTTAGGCTAGCATCAGAGACAGCTCGTGGCCACACTACTTTGAAAACAACTTTTTTGAGTTGTGGCTACCGTCATAAACAGATTGAGCAGAGTGACTGCATCCATGGGATTCCCAAGTAGATTTCCTCCCTCAGCCATTGCAACAACCCTCCACGCCTTGGTGCAGGTCATCAGGGCTTGATCAATGAGGACAGGACCAGGATTTAAGTATCCCCATTACCTCACAGACACCAGCAAGTTAAAATAATCCCTGCAGGTTAGGGACACAGTAAGTATGTGCCACACGTTATAAATGGCCTTTATGGGATGGTCATCGTATCTTCCTTCTCACGTGCTATTCTCCCCTCATAGGCTGCCATAGTGCTGCGCATTCACTTAAGCACATGTCTAGAACAAATTAAGTACGAAAGGAAAAGCTGAATGTCAGGGTTTATATCTCTCTGTCACCAAGGGGCAGTGACGATGGTGGGATGTGGTCATGCCCAGCCAAGGCTCTGTCACCTCCGGCCCGGCAGCGCGACGGCAGCCTCCGGGAGGCCGGCGGCGGCGGCACGTCGGCAGCGAGGGCTCGGGCTGCGGCTTACACAAAGCTGCTGTGCAGAGCGGTGCCCAGCAGGTATCCTGGTGAATACATTTCAGGAGCCCTTACATATGGCATGCTGCCATTAAAAGCCAGGAGATGCCTAGACAAATTCCCACGGGGCCCTTTGGGGAGGCCGCCGCTGAATTCACTGGCTCAAATTTTAGTCTTCCCCTCAATGGCTAAACTCTAGAAGCAGAAGATGAATAGGGAGCTTGGGTGAACTTTGAAGCCTGCAGGTCAAAGTGCTCTCTCATTATCCCCACCATTTTCTATCAGCGGAGCTCCTAGGCATCCCAAGGGAAGAGAAGGTTTGAGGCTCTTGGAAAAAAAATGAACATGACCAAGTCAGAAAACAGTAGGGTGCTTATGTACATATTTTTTTCTTTACCCGTTATTCTCTTCCCCCACTTTCTTAAAAAGGAGGAATATCCATTTAGCTATTGTGTGAAACGTCAAGCTGGTGGCATTCACAGTTACTTATTTAGCAGGCACAATGCAGCAAGTCATTTCAACACACTACCCTGCCAAACCACCTTGACCCTTCCAGGGATACCTCGGATGCTAACTTGATTTCCACCCTCATCTCAAAAGCTTTCATTTTGCAGCCTATCCTTTTTTTTAGAGGGGGACAACAGTGCTGATTTGTGCGATACGGAGAAATTCACCACACTAAAGAAGCGCCTTCGTATCTGAGCAGCTGACACACCTGATGGTTGAGACAACTGATCCATTTTGGGCCATAGGCCAAGTGGAACCTAACACAGCGCTCACTTCCAGCCACTGAATATTTTAATAGGTTCTTCTGATGCAAATTTTCAACCAAGTCCTGCAACCCGGCCCCAGTCACATTCCGGGAAGACGAAGCTAACTTCTAACCTCATTTATTCCTGCCACCACTAGAGGCCAGCCCACTGTATGCTTCACAAAAATACAACTGCCAAATTTTGTACAGCCAAAACGACCCGTTTGTTTGCAATAACTGAAATTAACTAAGCTGCTGGATTAAAGTTTAGCCTTCTCATAAGCTTAAACTAACTTTAAGTGATTGGCAGAAGTACTTTTTTTTCCCATGCTCTTTAATGGAAACAGATTACGGATATGAAAAATAACATCCATTTTCCAAAAAGAAATTACAAAGCAGCAGAAAGAACAACCTAGCCTAGCCATACTAAGAGAACAAAACACACCACCCGAGAGCAAATTTAATCTTTGTGTCTTGGCTACCTATAAAGTTTTGCACACATTACAGTAGGAGCGCAACTGCCTTCACACATCTGCTCCTGCCTCTCCTTCGCACAGTGGCCTGCACTTGGCAGAGGAGATGCTTCTTACACTGCCAACCCTACTGCAGAAGACTGACAGACAGAAGAACACTGGGATAAAAATTTCAAGTCCACCTTGCTTTGTTTCTCCACTTCAGGTGAGGGCTTTTGGCTCAAAATGATACTTTTAGGCACGCCAAAAGAAGAGGCAACTCTTTCAGGAACTGCAAGGTACAAAGGAATTCTGTTTGCAGCAGCCGTCTGTCCTAAGGATTGACTGAGGGATTAAGACCCCTCTGCAGGGCGTCCTCGCCACAGGTAATTGACAATAAACGGGCTGGTCACAGCACTGAATGCACTGCCCAAGTAGCATGGGGACTCTGCAAAGGCTCAAGTCACTAAGTCATTCAAACGGCATTGTTTGTAAAATAAATCTGATAGAAAGAGTTGAAGGTGAATGAGCACTTCTAGGAATTCCTAGAAGTAGATTTGGTGAGGGGATCTTGAGAAGCCTCTGTCTGGATTCTAGCTCTATCCACAGAAGTTTCTTGTCAAGCAGGAGATGAGTCTGCTGCCTTACCCACTACCTGCTGAGATACAGCCAAGGCCAGAGGAGCTGGGACAAACCTGGCAGAACTAGCAAAGAGCAAAGGCAGACGGAGCAAATGGCAACACGGAGACGGGTACCTTTTTCTTAGGGAGGGTGGGGAAACAGTGCGGAGGAGAGGGACACAATTAAAGGCAAGTAATTACTTCTTCTTTAAATGGAATCTTTCTAATCTCCAATGGATTTACCTCTAATCTCAAAGTAATTACCTCTAATCTCAAAGGATTCTCACTGGGGGAGACGGAGCAGCTCTGGGGAAGCCTGGAGAGAAGGGCTCTATTGTCTGCAAGAGGCAATGAAAAACTAACACGTGTGCACAGCTCCGGGCAGGGACAATACAGCCCTTGGACACAGCAAGGAAGCGACCTGGGAGCAGGCAGGGGTGACCTACCCACTTCCACCAACTTGATCAGTTGACCATCACAATTTGGGGAATCGATGTAGGAAGGTGGCCTCAAACACACAAGGTACCTGCATTGTCCTCCTGTGAAGGATACCATTGCATGATTTGGGTATCTCAACACTACCTCACTGAAGATTTTGAGAACTTTGAAGGTGCTAAGGCAGCTTCTCCCAAGACTGAACAAGCCAGATGCTTGCCTAGCTCCACAGAAAAGAACAGTGGGGGGGGGAAAAAAAGGACAAATCCTCACTACAGAATACAAAGGTTGAGGGACATGATTTCTGATGGAAAGCAGCAATGCCTTGCAGCTACTTGTCATGTAACTCATTAAATAATGTTTATGAGATATGGAAGTGACATCAGAAGCCAAGGCAAGGCATTATCAGGGCAGGAATTGAGACTGTGAAGACTTGTGCTGAGCCAGATTCTGTTAATATTTAGCAGACAGGAAACACTATGTTTATGCAACTATAACAGCAGTGAGAGTTTGCATGTCAGGCAAAAGCAGTTTTCCAGATCTGCATGCAGGTCTACAAAAGCCTCAGTGTACATAATAAAAAAATGAATCTGGTTGGGACCTTTATTTTCGCTTCTGAAAGTAAAAATTGCCCATAACATCAATAGCTATAGAAACAACTGGCCCAAAACACATAAAACTGGCCACTCTGGTTTTCTAATAGGTTTTGTTATTAAATGCAAGACCTGATATGAGGTCAGAGATCTTTGTGAAGGTCATGAAGTGTTTTGTGTTTCTACTGCCTGTACTACAGAGCGAGCAGAAGAGGCTGGATCGCCTCTTCAGGGAGTTCCCTGAATTGTAATCCTCATTTTGGCTCTATCTTCTGAATTGATTTGGCATGGAGTGATCTCTGTCAAATCTCATTTTCTCTTCTGCTAACAGGCCCAGGAGCTACGGGATGCGCTTATATGGAGTCAGAAGACCATGCTCCTTCCACCCATGGACTATGCTACACACACAGAGGCACAGACAAGATCCAGGGGCAGAAACAACATCAGACACTAACAAACATGCTTTATAGCAAATATTTTAATAGCTATCTCATTTTCAAAATGCCATTCCAAATCACTTTCTTGAATAAATCCTAACCACTGCACACTGAAAAATACCAGTAAACTTTTTCCCTATTGACTGCACTCAGGACACTTTCCCTTATCAAGTACTTTTCGTGGGGCTTTTTAATCCTGGTATTGACAGCAAGACCACACAAAGAATCCATGCAAAACAAACACTTAAACCTTGACATGTGCTGAAAGCAGGGGCCATGGCATACTTACATGTAAACTAGGATGATAGGTCAGGACGCCGTTGTCGCATAGCGTGACGTATTTCTTCTTCCATTCTTTATTCAAAGACTTGCCACTTCGTTTTAGCAGCATACCCTATTAGAAGAAAAAAGAAAAAACATTTTTTTTTGTCAATGCATCACTATTTAAGACACAGAAAGAGGTAAATATAATTGCTAACATTTTAGCTATGTTTTTTCCTACTTGTTGCTCAGTCTCCCCTGTTTCCCCCATGACGCCTTTTCACCGCTGGCAGCTCCAGTGGTTACAATTTAGAGGCAAAAGCTCCAAGTATGGCTTTATAAAGCCGGTCAAGGAAACAGAAAATAGTGCATCAATACTGGCTTTGCCCAACAGGCAAACAAAGCCCTCTTGCACTAAATTTAACTCCTTGGAAAAATATCTTATTTTAACATGACATGGAGCAAGGTTATTCCCTCCTCACATTCCACATTGATCAAGACAGCAGTGAGCTGCTTAGAACTGTAAAATAAATGTTGCATCTCAGGACACAACTCACTTGACTGCATTTGATTTTTCCTTTTTCCTAGATTGTCCTGTTTCCTAGGTTTTCCTATGGTTTGGACGTGGCCTCGGCATGCAGGGCGCTCTACACATGCATGTTTTCATGCCATTTCTAACACAGGGACACCACAAGGCCACCCTGTTTCACACAACAGTGACAAAATGGAGACAGGGCTAATGAAAGATTTTTTCCAACGTCTTCTGTATAAATTAGGAATAATAGATATAATGACAGAATGACGAGAGGGGTAGGATGACTTGACCTTCCCACAAACCACATGAGATCTAAAAAACATTTTGAGTTTTACCCATCAACAGTTTACATTAAAAGCCATCATGTTTAAATGGACCGGAATTACTAACTAGTATCTATCTGTTCTCATCTTGAGACAGAAGTTACTTGGTAAAGCAAAACCTATGCCCTAGCATGCTGAAGGTGGTGTCTCTACCTGTGCTTTAGCAACTTACTTCCCTAGAAAACTCTAATTTCTAAATGAAATCAGAAGACAGTTCCTAACAAATACACACACTATCTGTCATCAGAAGCCTTAGCTGATTATCTTCTACACAAGCTCCTGGGAGGACACTGGGCACCATCTCCACTGCACCACAACACAGGCCTAGCTCAACCTCTGACACGACATTTTAGCAGAAACATAAGTAGTAGGAGCACACAGCAGTTTCAAAGACCAAGATTAGGGTTTACAAAGTTACTTACTTGCATTTTAATAACTCACAACCAAGAACCTGAATAATACAAGTTTCAAACCTCTTATTTCTATATTAAAGATTTTTTTAAGGTTCTAAAGAACCTTAAAAATGTAAGTGCTCTAGGGAAAGCAAACCAACCCCAAGAAGCTGCATTAGTAAGCACGCTGCTCCTAACTACTGTGGAGTTTTTATTAAAGGGGGTGCATCTTTAGAAGAGCAAGCCATGCTATGTGCTTTCTCACTAAGCATATGGCTTCATATATTGTCTTATCTTCTCAGACCAAGCCTCCTACCACACGTGCACAAGGGTGGGCTCTGTGCCACCACGTGACTAGATCTGATTGGGGGCTAGAAAAGTCCTTCCTATTCTCAATTCCAAATATTTAACCTTTAGCTAAAAGCCCCATGCCACAAGTCAGATGAATTACTCTTTTTTTTCTTCCAACTAATGACCCTACATGCAAAGAGAAGAAAAAAATTTTTATTAGGTGAACATATTTTGCAGTACCAGTGGAGAACGCTTCTCTGAACACAAAGACCTAAGGGAAAGAGCCTAGAAGCACATCCTAACCACATCTTTCTTCCAAGGCCAGAGACTGCCACTTAGTCTGCTATCATTATACAGAACCATCTTGAAAAACGCTTTTAGTATTGGAGTTTAGATCAGTTATAAATGCGCTTTAACATTAACTAAATCTAAAGAGGAAAAAGAAAAAAAAAGACCTAGACAGGATGGTACTTCAACAACAAATACAAACCCTCATCCACAAAACCTTCTCTTGGGTTGCGTTATATCTACATTCAAGGTACTCTGCCTAGGAAACCAGATACTTGGTTCCCGCTGACCTTCAACACCTCCAGGGTGATTTAGAGGCAGCTTGGGTCTATCTACAGGGCTGCAAACAGGCCACACATCTCCATGGCACACTGTAAAAACCACAGTTACTCTCCCAGCTGCTCAGGAAGGGATTTGCTTGAACTAAGTAAATCAGCTCCAATCGTCATTAATCAGATAACATTACTTATCCCGACTAATTTGTGTCAAGTCTTTCATTTGCTACAGTTTTTCCCTGTGCAATTTTAGCACTGCAGTTCAGCATTGCTGACCCAAGCCTCGAGATGCAAGACTTTCAGAATTTAACACCTCCAATTTGCTCAAACTGAGAAGAATTTAACACTTCAAATTAAAATTTACCACCTTCCCTCCAAAACTGCAATTCTGAACCTAATGGCAGAACACTTCTCCTACCAGACAGCACTGCCTGTACTTTTAATGAGCAACAGGAAAAAATCCTTCAGCAGGAGTGCACGATTTTTGCTTCTTGGCTTTTGCTCAAGGAACTTCACTGTGCAAAGGGAACCGAGGAGCTGTCTGGATGTATTGCAATCTCTTTATTAGTAATGTGCATGCTACGTCTAGTCCCAGGAGGTCATTGCAAGCCAAAAGCAATGTTAAGTGTACAAGCTTTAAATAACTTACAAAGTTAATGTAATGAATGTAAGTGTTATCTGAAATCCATCACTCAGTGGCTTGCTGTAGCCTCCAGCTGTGATAAAACACCACTCATAAATTTATATTAAAACTCTGTTCAATAGCAATTATTTACCAACAAAGATTTATTGATTGCATTTGCTGTTAGAGACTGGGGCCCTAACTGAGTCAATCAGCTTATGTTGTTGAGCTTGAGGGCACCAGGAGAAGTTGCAGGCTGCTATCAAGCTCTGCATCCTGATGGGTATTGGGAGAGAAAGAGCAGCTAATGAAAAGCCTCCAGGATGGACTGAATGGAAGCTAAGGGACCACTATGTATAATGCACAGTGCTCACCTGTACAGGCAATAATCAGCTGGATTTAGACATGTGATGCCTTCCTGTAAGCTTGCAATCTTCCTACTTTGACAACAAATGAAATGGCAAGATAACTCCAAATTTCTAACTTGTAAAAAGGAAGTATTTCAGGTTTTAGGCAGCAAGGTATCTGCATTTAAAAGGGTGTCCCTCAAAGCTGCCCACCACTGCATGAGATGCTGGGAAGCGAGCGTTCTTCTGCACAAGTGAACGAAGAGACTTCCATAGCTCTTGTTAATACTGGTTTCAAAATGCACATCTTCGCTGTTACAGAGACAGCTCCAGGCCTGGCTTGGCCAGCACAATTACAGTGTGGAGAACAAGATACTTCGCACTTTGGATTTCACAGGGGACACAAGAAATGGAGGACATCACCAGCAGCCTATTACCAGCAACTGCAAGTTTTCTTTATTTGCTCCAGGTGAAGCCCTTGGGCCCTAACTGAGTCTTCTCAGTAACATCTTCAGATGCCCAGATAAAATGGCAGGGCCTAAGTCAGCAAAGCTGAGGCTGCCCCTCCAGTGACCATCTTCAGGAAAGCAAAGGTGGTATTTCTGTTTCTTTTTTTGCTGTTCGATACTTGTAACGATGCCATGATTGAGGTACGAACATCCTGCAGGGTTTTTTTCCCCTTTTCTTTCCCTCCTTAATTTTTAGCCAACCCCATACTGCTACCCTGATGCTGTTTTGACAGAATAAAATATGCAATCTTGTACTTAATCATTAACAGCATAAATTCCTAATTTTCCACTCAGTTCCTCAGTTATCATAACTATGATTAGCAGCCAGCATTTTTATGAATTTTATACAGCTCCAACATTTGCATCCTGTTGATAAAAATTTCTCCCCAAAAAACCCACCACACATAGACCAAAAAAAGATATCCACATTTAGAAAGATTCTGACTCAAACCAATTGCAATGTCAACTTTACAGTCAAGAACATGAAGAATATGAACAAATCTTGTATTTGAATTCTGGTCAATAATCCATCCAACTTCTCTGAATCCTGAACAAACCTTAACCAATCCTCCAGGTTTGCAGGGCTCTTCCACTTGACTCACCAGTGCTAGCAGTAGTAAAACTATTACCAAGGATACATCTTCCTTAAAAACCTGCACTGCAGAGCAGTCTTCAGAGCTTTGATACAGCTTGTAGAGATGCTTCCCCAGTTAAAACATATCCCCAGATAAAAGTTGTCCTCTTCCTATGGATGTCATTCATCAACTTCATCGTCTTGGGGATAAATTATAAGTTCAAAATACTGAACTCAACTATTTTCCAGTATGTTCAAAACACAAGGAACATACAGCTACTGGTAATTGTACCACAAGTGGTTACCTACTGCCAAGACTGACCAGCCACTGCTCTGTCCAGAGACAAAATGAAAGCAGCACCTGAGACCTAACAAACAGTAAAAGCTTGGCTAAAATTTGATGGACCATCTACATAAAGAAGGCTGCTTTCTCAGCTTTGCACACAGGCCACTGGGAAAAAAAAAACAGAGAAGACAGCAAATGCAATTTGTTGACCACAGGCAAGGAAGCCATCCTTTGACACTTGGTATCTGGCCACCTGATGTGGAACCTCTTTACTTCAAAGGGAAAGAAGACAGTTGTGCAAGAGCTCACCATCACTCCAGGGTCAGAAGAAGAATCTGAGGGGAAAACTCAGGGAGCAGACCCGCTCTAACACTCAGTTACAGCAAGAAACCCAAGCCCAGAGCTACCCCAGGTTTGCCCAACTGCAAGGAGCTCACTTCAGCTGAGGAGCACGCCTTTAAAGGATGGAGATGCAGAGCAAGTTAAGAAACTTCTTGAATGCTCCTTCAACACCCAGCAAGCCTTGTTATTTTTCTGCCTGTGGTATATGGAGCTCTGTTGCCTTCCATCACCACCAAAGCAAGTTGGTGTGAAAGTGGCAGCTCGACTGAAAACCAAAGGAGGAAAAATAACCTCAGGAAAGCAACTGGGCCTCGGCAAACGTTACCACATGGAGCAGCTGCTGCAGGGA